CATTGATGTTTCTCTCTCTCTCCCCCTCTCCCTTCCTCTCTGAAATCAATGAAAACATTTAAAAAAAATACAAATAAGCAGGGGATAAATTACCAATAAATAAACCAAATAAGTTTTGGAGTCTTGAGATACATATACAAATTAATTCATTTGGTGTTTTTAAAAATTATAAAAGAATAATTGTAAAAAACAAAATTTACCATGTTAACCATGTTTAAGTATAGAATGGCATTAAGCACACTCAGTGTTGTGCAACCATCACCACAATCTTCCTCCAAAACACTTCACCTTGCAAAACTGAGACTCTGTACCCACTAAACAGTAAACTTCCCATTCCTCCCTCCCACAATTCCTGGCAACCACCATTCTACGCTAGGTACCTCATATAAATGAAATCATACAATATTTGTCCTTTTGTGACTGGCTTATTTCACTTAGTTAAATGTCCTCCAAATTCATCCATGTTGTAGTGTGTCAGAATTTCCTTCCTTCAAAGGCTGAAAAATATTCCATTTTATTTATATATTTTGTTAATCCATACATCTGTTGATGGACACTTAGGTTGCTTCCACCTTTTGGCTGTTGTGAATAATGCTGCTATGAACATGACCTGTTCAAGGGTCATTAAGACCCTGACTTCAATCCTTTTGGGTATATAGCTAGGAGTGGAATTGTTGGATCATATAGTAATTCCACTTCTAATTTTTGAGAGAACTGTCATACTGCTTTCTATAGCTGCTGTACTGTTTTACATTTCCACCAATAGTACATAAGGGTTCCACTTTTTCCACAGCCCTGCCAACACTTGTTATTTACTGTTTCATGATAGCCATCCTCATAGGTGTGAGATGGCATTTCATTGTGGTTTTGATTTGCATTTTCAGAATGGCTAGTAACAGTTGAGCATCTTTTCATGTGGTTATTGGCCATTTATATATCTCCTCTGGAGAAATGGCTATTTAAGTCCTTTGCCCGTTTTTTAACTGTTGTTGTTGTTATAGGAGTCTTTCATATATTCTAAATATTAACCACTTGTCAGATATATGATTTGCAAATATTTTCTTCCATCCCATGAACTGCCCTTTTACTCTGTTGTGTCTTTCATGTGGCTTTTAAATTAGGAAATACTAAAAAATCTGCTTAAGTAAAATAAATAAATATCATAAAAATAAGCTCAATCTCATATTAGGAGCAGTGCCAGCAGGGACAGTCCATGTAGGGAGGAAATGAAGCTGTAGAGAATGTAAAGACAGAAGAGTCGTGGAGAAAAAGAAAGGAAGACACAAAAGTATGTAGTTCTTCATATTTGTGTCATAAATATTTTTATTCCATTTATTCAGTTAAGTTTTAATTCTGCCATCTTTTACCTTTAGTAGTATTCATTCATTCATTCATTCATTCATTCATTCATTCATTCATTCATTCATTCATTTTCATTCAAAAAGCATGTCTTGAGTGTCTACAACTATGGCATTACCTGCATTCAGGAGGCTTTTATCTTGTTAAGAGGTTAAAGTAAGACAGATATTAAAAATTAAGGTGGAATGAAGTGCAACAGTAGGAGCACTGTGAAGAGGGAGCCTAAAGGGAACGGTTTATCTTCACTCTGTGCCTTCCAGCATAAGCGGTTCTGCCTGCTCTAAATGAACCTCTAGTCACTTTTGGCGGCTTTCCTGGTATTGCTGACCACTTCCCTTGGACAGGGCATTCTTTTCGAAGCTAGTATTTCTGAAGTGGAAAGGCCATGGCTATTCCAATATAGGTTCAAACTCAAAAATGATAATTTTTAAAACACGTAATAATAAAACCCAAACTCTTGGCTACAAAGTAACTTTGTAATTCAAGGCTATGATGGTTTAATTTAGCATAGGTTCCTATCTTCGTCCTCCCTCCCTCTCCCTCCCCCAATGATTTTACAAATGCTTAGTCTCCTAGCTGTTTCCTCTTTTTATTTTGGTGTTTCTGTTGAAATGAACTTTATAACTACTAGGCACTGTGGTCTATGGTGGGCAGAAGAAATTACAAGTCTGGCCAACTTCTGTTGGAGGCTGACTATTGTCATTGTTGGGGGATTTCTATGAAATAACTGGACTGAGAAAGGTCGCTTCTTACCTGATCTTTTCCTAGGGCATCCTAGTCAATAGCACTTCTGGCTAGCAGCACCAGTAGATAGACCGTTTTAAAATATTCTCTTAAGTCAGGTAATTTTGTACAAGTTAAAATATTATTTTAAATTGTAGATTTAAAGAAGTTTCACATCCTAAACTAAATGGCAGAACCTATAACAAATGTTTTTCATTGAACATTTTTCAGTGAGAGTTACTACTGTAATGGAGTTGCATTACAAAACTTAAATTTCTTTGTGTAGTGTCACTAGTCCCAAATTACAACTGTCAAGAAACACTCAAAGAATTTAGGAACTTTCCATTTCCTCAAAATAAATTTTTGTTATATGCCACTCAACAAGCACTCCATTCACTGCTTTTATCTTGTATTTAATCAGAAAGAAGAGTTTAAAAACAGTGGTTTACTTTCTAGTGCTAAATAACTGGCAAAATAGCTTATTTTAAAAAATATATTGTATTATTATAATATACATTGCCTCTGCCCTGAAAACCTATGATGACTAAAAGGAAAGTTACCATTTTTTGAAATTACTAAATCGTGTATCAAAAAGAATTTATGGGCAGATGCAAGGTGGAGGGGATCAATGGAGAAAAAAAAGGGAGCGCCTGTAATACTTTAAACAATAAAATTAAAAAAAAAAAAAATTTATTACTGCTAAATGACCCAGCGTTACAAGTACTTTTCTGTTGTTGTTTCGTTAATCCTCACCTGAGGATATTTCTTCCATTGATTTTTTTTTTTTTTTTTT